AAGACTTCCTATTTCTAATTTGCTGTCTTAACTGCTACACCAAACCTGGTCTTTCACACCCCTGTCCTAAGGCCTTTCTGGGACTGCATATTCTTGCGCTTGGGTTTCAGCAGATTTCTTCAAGAGGGGATTATGAAAAATATTTACTGCTCGAAATGTTTGCGCCGCTATAATCCCGGCATTATTGCTCCATCCAACAAGTAGATGGAACTACTCGCGAGCAGCCACCATTTTCACGATCTCCGGCTTGGGACAAGACGAAAGGAGTGAGGGTCTGGGGGAATGTATAAATATAAATATTTATTTCGGAGAAAGACCGGGTCCATCCAGGTGAACGGAAAAAAGATAGCTCCCGCGCGCTTTCCATTTTTTTGGGGGTGACTCACGTCGGCCGTTCCCAACAAGAGAAGGCACGTACCAATCCCAGACTCCCTTCTCTCCCTTGCACGTCCAGCACTGTCCGGGAGTTTTCCGTGCGCTTCGTTGGATCTCGCGTGTTCCCAGCCCGTGTCCCCGAGGGATGGCGGGGGAGGCGGCGGCACGGGAAGGAGGCGGGATCGGGGGGGGCGGGAGGCCAACGTGCCGCTCGCTCTCATTGGTACGTGTGCACGCTCCCGAGCGGCTTGTCCTCTGGTATCCGGTAGTGTGCGGCGAACATGGCATTTCCCGCACGGGGCCGGCTCGGGCAGGGCCACACGCAACAGCAGCGGCATGCAGTCGCCCTGGTAAGGCGATGCCGGCCGTCAGGCGGATCTGACTTGCCCGCAAATGGCCTCGGGCAGGGAAGCAGCCGTGCAGCCTCCGACCGAGCTAAGTGGCGACTCAGTAGAAAGCATGAGGAAGATTTTCATCGGTCACCCCGAAAGCGGCGAGGATGGGGACCGAGCCGGGCGAAAGGAGCAGCCGGATGCGCCGGCGAAGGGCTCTCTGGGAGCTCTCCTCTCCCCCGGCAACTCGGGCGAAGTGCGAGTAGCCGAGGGCGCCTTGCCCCCCGGCCCTTCGCCTTCTAAGCGGGCGCCCGTCCGAGAGCACCGCCGAGATGCTCAGGGGCTAGTCTTACACTATATAGTGCCTTGCATGAACGCCTATGGCTTGTGCGTTGTAGACCATTTCCTGGGATCCCGGATAGCCGAGAAAATCTTCCAAGAAGTCCTGGCTTTGCACCTGAGTGACAAATTCCAGGACGGAGCCCTGGCGAGTCAGAAACTGGGCAGCAACAAAGCCATCCGCGGGGACAAGATCTTATGGGTAGAGGGCAGTGAACCAGGATGTGAGAACATAGGCTACCTCCTGAAAAAAATGGATAAGCTCATCATGTACGCAGATGGGAAGCTGGGGCATTACAAAATTAGAGGAAGACACAAGGTTAGTAGTTTCAGTATCCAGGACTTTGTTCTTCACAACTTTCCCAAAGTTTCTAATCTCGCTGCCACTTGGAGTCTGAACTCTTAGCTGTGCCGTTCTGGTCCCTCTTGTATGTTTGTTTTGTCTTGGCATTATTTTTCTCTTTTAAATACCTTGATCCGTTCGCTTAGTAAAATACAAGTTTCAGGGTCGGATTCACACAAGATAATACGAGTTACACGCGATTGATTTCCGAATCGGACAAGAAGGGGTATTATCGCAACATCAAGAGCAATTCCTCTGTCTTTCTTTTTCTTTCATTTCACTTTTTCAGAAACATACAAATACACTTCATCGGAAGTCCAACTCGAAGATTTTTATTCAGAAGTTTCATCCTGTTGATCTTTTTAAATATTGTTACGCAGCAAGAATCGGGTGTGATTATTATTTTTTTTAGATGGCATATACGAGATGCGGTATCCATTCGGTTAAAATCGTAGGAGCCTTTTGGATGCAGCATCTGCACTTAAAACGTTAAAATACGACTAACGTCGCTTATAAAACAATTGTGCGTCTGAAAGGCTTTGTCTGCAGAAAGTCAGGTGTGGGGAAAAAATGGGAAGACGCCTTCCGGGGGAAAAATGCTGAGCACTTGTTAACTCAACCCCTTTCGTTTAGGTTCATTTGCCAAAAGAAACTCTCCTGTCACTTGCGCGCTTTACACCCTTTGCCTTCCGTTTGTTTACATTGACCTGTAGTATGTGACCCGCACGAGAAGCGTACATGCTGGGGTAGAATTCCTCAATGGCGGAGGCCACGCCCCCCTCGGAGTGTGGTCCCCAGGCCTGGCAAGCCCCAAATCATGCCTCCTTACAGCCACGCGGCTCTTCGACTCCCCTCCTCCCCACGCGGCAATTGGAGGGGGGGGGCGCGGGAGGCGGGAGGAGAAGGGTGGCTGGAAGCGCTGCCCGAAGCCACACCTCGTCTCTTCGTTGATTGGCTGCGTCCACGCTCCCCTTGGTTGATGTGTGGGAGCGCGCGCGGCAGAGATTGTTTCTGGGCCGGGGCTCCACCCACGTGCCGCTGGCTGTAGAAGTTGGGAACACATCCTGCACGTAGCAGACGTATTAAATCAGAGAGGGGGCCCATCTGCTTGCCTTGGTGAATAAATTGGAAAGCAGTTTTGCCGGACGTGGCTCCCCAAAAAGGGGGAGTGATCCTATCAGCCCAAAAAAAGGGGGGGGTGTTCACGTCTCACACTGATCTACACCGATAGCAAAGAGCTTCAGCAATTGTCTGTCGACCAAGGTGTTCCTCTTGCAGTAGGTGGAAGGCAGCCCCCGGGGCCCCCGGGGAAGTGGTGGAATCGCCCTTCATTCCATTCTTCAGTCTTGCTTGGGTCGCCAGGAGTGGCGAGGAGCGGAGACGGTGACCGCTGGTTGCACGGAACACCGAGTGTTACTTCAGCAAAACTTTTTGAGCGCCCCGCTTCGTTGCTTCCCTGACAGATCAACTCCTGCCTGGCTGCGGTTCCCCATCCCGACATCTAAGGGGGTTAGATATTCTTTTAAGCGAGCGGCCGATTCCTTTTGTTAGAATAACCCGATACCCGAGCAGCCTCTGTGACCAAATGCTCGATTGCTCTTTTGGATATTATTTAAAGGAGAGAAATCAATCGCATTACTGAAATGCTATTGGGCGATATTATGAGATTAGACTTGGAGAAAATCGCCCTGGACTACATTGTACCTTGTTTGCGCGATATTGGCTTTTGCTACTTGGACAATTTCTTGGGCGAGATAATAGGGGACTGCGTCTTGGAATGTGTGAAACAAATGCATTATAGAGGGGAGTTGCACGACGGTCAACTGGCCGGCCAGCGCCAGGGCATCTCCAAGAGACACTTGCGAGGAGACCAGATAAAATGGATCGCAGGCACCGAGGAAGGATGCGAGGCCATCAACTTTCTCTTGTCGCTGGTAGATAGGCTGGTGATGTTTTGTGGCAGTAGATTGGGTAAATACTATGTCAAGGAAAGGTCTAAGGTAAGAGCTTTAAAAATAAGATGCTGGATGTTTGACTTTCTGGTTTTATTTCATTCATTCCATTATTGCTCCTGGAATTAATTGGTGATCTTAAAGTGCCACATAGAGGGGCCATTTCAGTCTTTCTCATTTTTAAAAAATCTTGGAATTAACTTTTTCATATAAATAAGTTCCATTGTGATGTCTAAGTAAGTTTAACAACTTTGCGTATTTATGTATTGCATATGCTAATGAATGAATGTAAAATGTATGAAGTTAAGTTTAATAAGATTATGTTAGTCTGAATGACAAATCTGCCTATATGCAGAGTATTTCTTTTTTTGAGGGGGGAGAAGTTAAAAGAATAAATCTGTAAAAGTTTTCTGGTGCTGCTTTAGGCAACACCCTCACTTTGTTAACATTTGCAAAAGTCTGCTTGAACTAAACTTGAGTTTGCTCATTGTGCTCAGATATCAAGTGTTTAGCAAACTACTTTAACTTGTCTTGAGGGATTAACTTTCTTACATTTCTAATTTATGCATATATATTCCAATACAGTCCACTGCACAACTGACTACATGGACAAAATCTATAGTAATTAATAAATTAATTGATACTGCAGAATGTTTGTGCACAAGAGTTCATTTTTCTTGGTGTTTGAAGTTTGTTGTAATGTAACTCTTATACCTCTTCAAATTTTTATTAACCTGAACCAATGGGTGTTTACTCAGAATAAGTACCGCTTAGTAAATGTATTTAGGATTACTGACATAAAACATTCAGTGGTGCTTAGAAAGGTTAATAATAATTTATTAAATTTATTACAATGATCACAGCGGTGTAACAAAAAGGCCTGCCATAGTAGCCATACTAGTATTTTCCCCGTTGTATCAAACTTTATTCATAAAGATTTTTCAAAGCAAAAAAGTAGAAAAGTGAATTGTGTTATTTAAATGTTTGAACAAAATCATACTCAAAAGCTGTCTCTTTCTGCTAGTGACTGAATGAATCAGAATTTTTAAAGCTCTTTTTCTGTTAATGTTTTAGTCTACAGAATATAAAATTAAACTTTTCTAAAGCTTCATTATTTAGGGTCACAAGTGGAATTCTTGATCAGAATTTTATCTAGACATGTTTTTTCTTCTTCGTGACAATTAACGTTCCAAAATGACAGGTGTAAGCACACTTACTGTGAACTAGATCCCATTGAATTCAGTATGAAAGTGTGCCTAGAAGTATTGTGGACAGTATGTGTCTGGTTACCCAACCTATTATTTACAGTGTGAAGGCTTCCTAACCAACCAACCCCTCAAAAAAGTCAGCTTGCTTATAGTTAATTCCCACAGGGAACCTTGAGAAAATTACTTGCCTTGAAAAAAATGTTGATTGAATGTCTGGAAAGCCAAGTTCTTGTCATTTGGTTTTCAGTTTAATTGATTTGGTTATTTGCAACAATTCACCCATCTGTCACAACACGTTGCTGATGAGAGGAGGAGATTCAGTAACTCTTCATTATTTTAAAAGGTGCTGTATCACAGGCATGCACACATCCTCCTCAGATCACAGTGTTTAAATTGATGAACATGGATAAATATAATAATTCCAAATCCATTTTAAATATCTGGCTGGTTGTGGGACAAACCAGTAATAATAATATATTAAACTTGTATTCTGCCCAAATGACAAGGTGCAAATAATTAAAAATGTAAAAACCTCACTCACCTGCCATAATATTATAATACCTAATGCAGAAAAGACCCTCAATTTCATGTTCTTCCAATCACTTTCAAAATTAAATATAGCTGTCATAGTATATAGTTAATATTTGCATTGTAGGAACTAAACATTAATGTTTCATGATAGTAAATTCAAACTTCATCTATCCAATTGACCTAATTATAGCCTAAGGACAGTGCAGAGCCTGTCATGCTGGCTAGCCCTAAAAATGGAAGGGAAGGGAACGTCATCCATGATGTAAATAATGCACATTACCACAGGGTGTTCCTGATTTCCTGAGTATGCTGAAGAAATGTCATATCCTCTGGTCACAGTAGTACAGTTTCTATCATCTGGTTCCTTCTTATTGTGTTGGGATGACAACTAGAAGTCTCAGGCTGGATCTAAAGATATTAAAAAGAATCTCACCTATAAAATGTAAGGGGGTGTGACTTTATTTTAATCCAAGATTTTTTTAATGAACAACATTTGAAAGACGTATCTAAATTTTGCTTAAAGCTATTCCCAGGAGTTGGAATTTTTAAGAAGAATCAAATGTACATTGCAACCAAAAGTTGTTATATATTTATATTAAAAAATTATTACACTTGCACTAGAAGTATTTAATTACAAAATTTTGCAAATTGAAAATAATTATTTTAAATGAGCTATGATCTTGGGAACAAGTGCCTTTGTTCTTGGTAAGATTTAGTTCTATCTAGGTACGCCTGACATTGCATAGTTATAAAACCAACCTGGAGTGTTTATGTAAAACCAGTACTAGCAAGTAGTAATTATCTTAATGTTTTCCATTTCAAAAAAGTCAAGCATAGGCAGGTATAATATTTGTTACTAAGAAGCATAGTTGAAAGCAAAAGTGTCACATTGTTCTTAGTTTTAAACAGACTAAGATAACATTTTATACAGGCACAGAAGTCAACATTTCTTATTAAGGTAACTAATAAAAACAAAATAATTGTGTCCTGATCACCTAATCTTAAATTTATAGCTCAATCATTTTTACATATTGCTATACAGTAGCTTAAAATGCTGGGCAGGTATATTTTATTTTTTATTGCATTTATATCCTATGACAATCAAAAGTGGATCAAATGCTTTTGGTTAGTTCTCCATTGGCATTAACTGAAATAATGTTGGCATGTTAACATATCGTAGGAGAACATTAAGGCCTGCTTGCATGGATTTCTAAAGAAATCTAATTGTATTTTAGAAAGCTACAAAATGTTTTCAAAATGATGCCTGGAGTGCAGAAGGATGCAAATGCAAAACCTTTTTAATTCTCATCAAAAGAATTGCCAAATTCTAATGTCTCACATAATAGATACCATGTTTTCCCAAAAATAAGACAGGGTCTTTTTTTCTTTTGCCCCGTTTTATGACTTTCTTGCCACAGTTGTTAAGTGAATCCCTGCAGTTAAGTTAGTAACATGTTTATTAAGTGAATCTGGCTTCACCATTGACTTTGCTTGTCAGAAATTTGCAAAAGATGATCACATGACCCCGGGACTGTCATAAATATGAACCATTTACCAAGCATCCAAATTTTGATCATGTGACCATGGGATGCTGCCATGTCGTAAGTGAAAAATGGTCATAAGTCACTTTTCTCAGTGCTGTTGTCACTTTGAAATGATACTAAACACATGGTTGTAGATTGAGGACCATCTGTAGTAAGTATAGATAAGGTCTGACGTAAGCAAGATTTTAAGACAACTAAATTGCACTGAATCAAATGAATGTAAGATGGTCATAATTCTCATCTCAACTTCAATATATCAATTTTTAGAAAACTTATTTTGGATCCAACTCATAATGACTGTTTCTCCTCATTGGTAGCTGTCCATATCTTGAAGAATTACGGTGACTGTTAAATCCCAAAGATCTGTAAGCTTCAGAAGTGTGAATGTGTTTCTCTTCTGGGCTTAAAATTTAGCGGCAATATGAACAAGATTCACTATTGCATTGCTGAAAACTTAACACCTTTGAAGCTGCTGTTGTTTATTATAAGTCCCAAAAGGGTTTCATATTTGGAAAGCAGCATTGCAAGTAGTTTACAGTACATGATCCTGGAGAAATATTCACAAATTTTCCCTTTCCCCCCTAAAAAACAAGGTGTTATAATTTTCCAGTTTGATGTGCTTTTGTTTTCCTGCTTCTATGTTTTCTGTTTTCTTTATGGGAAACATGCTTTTCCCATTATCTTTCTAACAATATTTTTAAAAAGTGAAACACAACGTAGGTGATTTATTTAGTTCATTGTGTCTGTGTATCATGCATTGTCCATGTATTGCCAGTGGTTATAGTTTAAATATCACAGTGATGTGATATTTAATAATTATGGCATCCGTTTTATCACAGGGAGTCTTCAAAAGAAATAGATTATGAAAAATATTATCTCATCTTAATAAAAAATCTAATTTAACTTCATTTAAGCAGTATGAACAAGGCGACCTAGCTCTAGAATTCTGTGGAAAAATAAGAACACTTTTTTTTGAAAAACTTGTACCCAGTTGTGGCAAAAGCAACATCCCATTCTGTTGAAAACGTCATGAAAAAGTTAGAATATTTAATTTGGATGCAGGAAGATCAATATAATGGTATGATTTTTCAACTGCTCTTTGTTATATTTTTAGTCATAATGTTCTTGCAAAAGGCAGAGTTTAAAATGTAATGTTACTGTAGAGTGACATTTGCTGTAGAAATTACTGATCAATATAGATTGGCAGTCTATATAGAAGTCTTGGCCTGAACTATGATAGAGTACACTTAAATGCCCTATGTTTTTATCTGGATTCTTTGTATACCAGGCCTTTTATTTTGTTTCCCTGGAATCAAAATATAGCAGCAGGTTAGTTTTAATCAGATTGTAAATCAGTAGTGCCGCTGGTTATTATTCTGCTCTTATTCCTATAAAATAGAATCAACATTTTTGACTCTGTAAGCAACATTTCCTGTGAATTCAGTAGAAGCAAATTAGCCTACTGTGGAGTTTAAAACAGTGATATCCATCATCATATACTTTTAGAAGAAAAGGAGGAAATAGTTAGGAAGCATTAAAAGAACATTGAAATACATATGTTTTTGAAATTTTGATGAGCCAATCTTAATTTTTATATTTTATTTTTATTTTACTGCATTCTTTTGAGCCTTAAATTCTCTAACCTAAACGAAGTATTTTATGGTTTAGTGTTGTGTGAACCATGATGCATAGAACAGTCCTTTCTTGTCTTTCCATGTCTGATACTCCAGCGCCTAGAATTCCTCATTAATATGCTCTTGGTATC